CTAAACATCGAAGCAGCTTTGTTTAAGTGGATATGGTACTTATAGAACGGACGGATGAGTAAAGTTTTACAACAATCAGGTTATTTTCCTTTGGTAAATTGGAGTCATCATTGTAAACATGTACTGTAAAGAACGCTTTGTTTATTTTTTTAACGACTTTCGCATTCTTCGAGCAATAGCATTTTGCTCATCTATGTAATTATTTTCTTTAATTGATTTCATTTGATTTAAATTTGTTTAATGACATCAGTCAGGCAGTTGTGTGAGCGCAATAATGATACGACTATAGTATCAAAAAAATAAGGGTACAAAAATCGCGTGGTCGCGAGGAGACTGGACGTTCATTAATCGACTTTGGTTATTCAGCGTCAAGGGATTCCGAGCATCATTCCAAAAGAAAGAACAGGTTTGAACTAGATCTAAGAGGGAGATGACAAGTAAATTCGGCACCATTCCGTGTTTAGAATATGGAAATGGTATTAAAAGTTTTATAGAGTAAGCAAGAAAGCAGCAGCACCGTATGAAGAAGCCTTAATGAATGTAACTGTAGCCCGACCCCCTGCAAAACTACCCCGCCAAAGTTCACAAAATGGGAAAGGGATACTACAAGACATTATTGAGAAGCATTTACTCTCTACATCGATGAGAGATGCTTTTAATGCAGGATAATGCCTAGCTATAGTGTGGAGATGGTGAGAAGATTATGGTTGGAATTGAAGGAAAATTGAGTGCATATTGTGGCCATCACCGATTTTAGATTTGAATCCGATCGAACAAGTTTGGGATCATCAGATCATCCTTTAAGGATTGGAAAGACTTGTTATTACAGAATGAGAAAATATTCCTCAACGTTTTATCAAAAACCTTTTCTAAGAATTACAAAGGCGGAAAAAGTTTGTTTTATTCATCCTTTCTTTTCTTATATTTTTCTTCTCTTTTAAATTTGTAAGCTAATTAAATAATAATTCATAAATTAATCGACTAGTTTTTATAACTGAAAAAATGTTTAATGTGCTAAATTTGACAACTTCCTTGCATTAAACATTTTAGGACAGTAGGTTAGTTTTATCCGTCAGTTTACTTTAAAAAAAAAACTAAAAATATAGTAAACGTAATATCTAGCTTGTTTATTTGATAATACATATGCCTATTAACCATTACTGCTAATACAGTACACAAAATGTGTTGAAATGTACATATTACTTACTGTGAAGGCGTTTTCAGGAGGGCGCTAATTGAAGCCGGAAAGTTTTCAGTGCTTCGAAAAATTTAAATAATGTAATAAAACAATTGGAAAACTAAAACCTCATTTAAGCAGAAACATGAAAGATGCTATTGTATCTTTAAGTGAAATATATAATTGTATGAAAAGTAAGGTCTTAAAGTTGAAATAGGAAGAAAGAATTGGAATCAGTGAAATGTAAGACTACACAAAGGAGGCGTGCTGGTTCAAACTTGCAGCCAAAACGATAATGAGGTTCTATGCAATGAAATTAACAAACATTGCGAGGATTCCTATAAAGCTGAAATAAGAAAAAAATCGTCTTTGAATGATTATGCACGACATCCCAAAAAGTGTAAATAAAGAAAACTTCAGTGAAATACATATTAAAAAGTCAAAACCCTGAGTTGTTTACATCTTAGAGTTTCATCAGGAATAACAGATAAATAAAAGCCGTAGATATATTGTACAATAATTGATGTTGATCCTACCTTAACAAGAAAGCTCTTGGGGACTAAAATTAAGCTATCCTGAACACGTTGACCTGACACGTTTTATAACTCAAAAAATTTATTGATCAAAAGTCGTTAGAAAATGGGTTTACAGAAATTGTAAACGACAATGACACAAAATTTTATTCAGAATGTACAGAGAAGTTGCCATCACGTTGGGAAAAGTAGGTTGCGAGTGATTGAAGGTATTTTAATTAACAAAAAATGTTTAAAATCATTTGTTTGAATGCATTTATTTTATAACCATAAACCTGCATTATTTTCCTGACAACCCCATAATTATATTTTGTAACTGTTTCAGTCCTCTGACCATCAAGATACCATTTTTCAGTTTTACTTGTGTCTGCCTCCGTTTCCGAATACAATTATGCTTGACTTATTAAGATCGATCTTTAAATTCCGAGCCATACAATATTCAAATAAGTAGTCTATCATCTTTTGCATATTAAAAACATTGGACCGAATCATCTGCATATGCAAGAGGCTTTATGTTTTCATTGTTTAGTCCGATTCCACGGTTATCCCAACCATACACTTCCAGATCAATGATGAGCAAAGTGAAAACAGCGGACTTAACCAGCTTACTAGGTTCACTCCCATTCTAAGTTCGAAAGAATTAAAACTGCTTACAGCATACTGTATTACAAGTATTTTCTATTAAGTCTTTAATCATTTTTACATATTTCGTTGTCAACCTTAATTGATACAGTTCAAAATAAAATATCATCAATCTACTCGAGCAAAGGCTGCAGATAAATCTACATATCTACAAAACAGGCATATACTTTTTTCTATTTTAGGTGTCGTTTAAGTACGATTGTAAAATGTAAAAATTGCACACCTTCTTTCGATACATTGTAGACAATTAAAAAAGTTTAATCTAAATTAATTTTTGAGACTAAACTTAATATCTTCGGAAAGTGAAAGATTACGTATGTAGTGAAAATAATAATTTTTGCTAAGTTGTACGTAAAATTGGTCTATAAAACGATAAATAAAACTAACATTGTTTCTACATAAATTATGTATCATAAGTTTCATTTTTTTTTAATTTCATTCTTTTTTCCGTTTTAATCAAGGATTATTTAATCTACGTGCATATTAATGTATGATTAGTGACTCGGAGAATTTCAACTTTCTATATGTATTCGTACAATCAACCAAAAGAAATCCGTTTCTTCCGCGAATCATTTTGCGCACAAATCGCATGTTTTCATGTTTGAACAATTCACTCATCAGTCCAGAATACATTTACAAATTAATCAAGTAACGGAAATAGGTTTAATTCAATTTGTGACTTTAAACGTTAATTGCCCAGTTTGGTTTAATAACGTTTTTCAGAGAAGTGTAATATGACGGAGGGATTTAAAAAAAAATAATAACTCGAGAGAGAAAAACTTTGGGTGGCAAACGCACCCGCCAGTGTTATTGGATACTCTGCCAACTTGAAACGTACGTGAAGTTGTATATGACTCGACACGGTGATAATTGGAAAACTACTTTCAAGGGCTTTCCCTATGATATTACAAAGCACCGGGATGTAATGTAAAAGCTGAGCCGAGAAATGCCAGAATTACTCTGTCGGAAACCAATTAAAAAAATTACACATGTTTATAATTATTTTGTAACAAAATGTACTTTATTTCAAAGAATTATAACATAACATAAAATATCTTTTTAAAAACCTGTTTTAATAAAAAATTTAATTAAAAAAAAGCACGAGGTAAACTGCGTCCACATATATCACACTCACATACACCTACACTGACACATGCACATTAAGACTATATACCGCTCCAAGGATGGTTCTCGAGGCACACTCTAAGTCTGACGTACTGGAAATGCATGTACGGATAAACTTTGCAACTCCCACACTTCACACTAGGCGGCTGAGAGGCAGGAGACCTGGTTCACCTCTCGTTGGTGGAGAAAGACGTCCAGGTCCTTATACACCATTGCACGTTGAGGGATGTTCAGATCGATGCACTCGACTAAGGGTCTCGGAACCCGAAGAAAACAATCGTTAAGTACCGTGCACAAAACACTACCCATACGCATAAAATTGTTATATGGAGAGGGGAACTCCCGTTCTCTTTGGGTGTCCGTGAACTGAACCCTGTGAGGGTACCGGAGGAAAACTGGGTTACGAGACTCCCGGACCGCAAGGTATTACAGGGACCCGAACGCCTGAATAGCCATCGGGGAGGCTGTCCTATCATCTCGTTTATTATGTGATTGTGTCTAGTACTACCAGCTAGCGACTAGATAGTAACTGTGCTGGCATCGCGGCGGGCCCTCCTTAGGCCACGCAGGTTGTGTGCAAATCGGGGAAGCATCCGAATGGGCCTCAGAAGGCTCATGAGGGAAAGCCTACACGCGATTGTTGACACACGGACCCTCAAGCATAGAAAGGTTGCTCGATGTGTCGCACATAGTTGAGACCTTGGCTCCATACAGCGATCGTGTAGGCATGCCGCTGAATTTAAGAATAGCTCTCGAGCACAGCAGTCGGTTTCTTGGTCCACCGTTCCATATTTTAGAGGTCGTGAGGGGGGGGTATTTTACGGTATATTTTATGTGTTTTGTTTGAATGCATGTATTTATTAGTGTGAGTGATGAGGGGTGATAGTGAAATATAGCGACACCATCGCCCCTCCAGTAGTGTGTCGGAGTTTTATAAAAGTACCCCATCGACCCTAATTTATGTTAGATTATTAATATTGTGTGTAGTTTGATGGCGGAATATCCCGTTCTCCACCGTCTAATGAGAATGAGTGAAATGCATGAATGAATTTATATGTATTTTTTTGTACGACTGACTTTTCTTATGCTTAATTAGTATTAGGCTAGATTATAGTTTGCATGCGTTTGGGGCTGAAATGACCTAGCTGTCGATAGCCACCCTCGGAGCTTACCCAATTCGTAGGAAAGCGACGATCTCTTGGGCATTTGGCTTAAGGGGGATACTAGCAACCCTACCAAAAAGCAGGGTGGGCAAACTCCTTGATGTATAGACATTAGGGTCAGCACATCAAGGAGTGACAGCCTACGGGGTGAAAGTCCGAAAGTCTAGGGTAAATTATTTATAGTGTAAATAATGAGAGGTAAGATCACTGCTTGAACGCCCTATCTTTTTCCGTTTTATCAGATATCTTGACATATTAATTAATCCCAGAGATTTAATTGTCTAATTTATCGAAAAAGGAAACTTCACAAGGAAAAAATGGTTCTGAAGACTTAAAAAAATGTCTGTTTTAATGCAATAAGTTTATTTAAACATATGATGTAATTACATCAAGGACAAGATTTCAAGAAAAGAAGTTTACGTAAGTTTCGACCAATGACAAATATCAATCGATATATATTGTTAGTTAGGAACATGATACACAAACAACACTATAAAATGAATTATGTTAATTGTAGTCCAGTTTTTAAGTGGTTCAATTGTTGAAAGCATTTTTCAGTCTTTTATTTTTTGGGCTGTTTGGTTTTGTATTGCATTTATATTAGGAAATGAGTTTTAAAAAGACCTAGTATTAAAATGATTAGAAACTGGGCTCATGAGATGACAGTGTGCCCTATTCTAATCTCCTAAAACGATAAACCTCCATTACATTTATCGACTTTTATTGGCATTTTAACTGTTTATGACGGATTTTATCGGTTCGTGAGCTGATTACCGATTGTATCTCGAATACTGGTACTCTTACTCGGAACGAACGATTTTTTTATAATTAACATATTTATAATTAATGTAAACCATGTGATTTTTCAGAATTCAATGAAAAACAAAATCATTTATAAGTAATTGCAGACTTTAAAAGCATGTCCAATTTTTAATAGATCAATTCATTACAATTTTATTTACTTGCTATGTAAAAAAAATAAATAAGTCTTTAATTTCAAAATATATTTTTATCTTTGCAGTCTAGCTCTGTTTGTTGGCTGCTTCATTAATAATTGTATGGAATTTTAGCCGTAAGGCTGACTACTTAAAATAAAAACCATACATTTTATTTTTTTATAGCTTTCTACATAATTTGGTTGAGATGGGAAGTTAGTGTCCGAGCGGATCGAAGTCACGATAGCTCAAGTGGTAGAGTAGCGGCGTATTTAGCCGAAGATCGTGGGTTCGAATCCCGCTCGTGACCCTTTTTATCTCAGCTAATACCTTTCATAATATTAATTAATTGAAAAAAAGTTAATTGGTCAATCGGACCACGAACTTTAATGGATTTCTACATAATATTCTTGCTTATTGTAGGTTTGGATCCGACTTGTTTTAAATGTTAACTGCCAAAGGTAATTTGGTTCGTACCTAGCCCGTCCCTAACTGAACTTAATTCTATCTTCCTCGTTCACATCCTACTAGCACTACCTAGCACAACAAAACGCGTCCCTAATACGACCGAACCTACCTCGTTCTTATTAGCCCAACCAACATAACCTAATCTTTCCCTAGTATAACCCTAACTCTACTTATCTCATGCTTTACAGTTGTCCTACCTAGCATAACCTAACCCGTCCTGATAATAACCCTAACTCTACCTAACTCGTCCTTAATGGTAGGCCAACCTAATATCAACTGACCCGTTCCTAACATTAACCGTAACACTACCTACCTTGTCCTTAATCCAAACCGTACATAACATAACATAATCAGCCCCTACCCTGACTATTCTAAACCTTAGCAAAACCAACCAACAAAATCGAGGAGTCACCAAATGCTTCTCAGACCAATAACTGCGGGTCCAGACGCCGATCCATCAACTTAATCAACATTTCTTTAAAATAGTTTAAAAACCGTAATCTCCAAATATAGCGATAGCCTTCTCCCCGCCACTCTGTCGGTTTAAACTTAAGCATTGTACTTTTGACAATAAAGTTTCTTTTTTCAAAAAGTCTTCTTCGAGCGATTACTTACTCGATGACGAAAAAGTCCATAAAGGTTATTATGTAATAAGAATTTTTAAAGACTTATTGTGTTATTATATTTATAAATTGTGTGCTTTTTTAATTTTTCCATGTTTTTATTTTATTTTTTTAGCAAAGTTTTTGGATGTTTCGGGATTTACACCCATCATCAGGAACTACAGTGTCTTCTTATGTTTTAAAAATTTAAAACATTTAAATTTGAATAATATTTGTTTTTAATAAGAACTTGTAGATACTGATGATGGGTGTAGATTCGCAAAACATCCAAAAAAATTAATTACGGCAAACCAAAATAAAAAAAAACCACATGAAACACAATTTATACAAACATTTGTATCTAGCCGAAACCACAATATTTGGCTATTAAGGTGGACAGATATCAACTACTCTTCCTCATTTTCAATATTTTTGTGCCAATTCGGGTCCCTTCGTTTTCACTACTCCAAGGTGGCTTGTAGATTAATAGTTTTTATATAATATAATTTGTTCTAGGGAATATAAATTTTTCTGCCCTTTTTACAGAAAAAATTAAGACCATTCTGAGTTAAATTCACGTCGCAATGGGTGACGTAGCAGTATGCCCTTGTGGTGCAAACCTATGCCTCGGCGCAGTCATTGAACAACAAGAGTAATAATTATTTATAAGTGAAATTTTTTAAATATATATTTTGAATCTTATTTAGAATGTCGCCAACACCGCAACAGTTGAAATCTCCATGCCTACTAGCACCTCCTTCTGTTTCGGAAACAAGAGACTGCCAAGAAAACGAAGGAAATAATACGTAAGTTTACTCATTACTACAGGATTAGTTGAACTATTTTGTAAATAATAAATGTCATAATAAGCTAAACAACTACTGTTGACAGGCGGTTTACATCAATTTCAGTTTACAAAAATTTAAGACCCGCATGATATAAAGTCTTAATTTATATCAGGAAATAAACGACAGTATTTAGCTAAAGTATATACCAGTAATAACGTAAAAAGAAAACCAACAAGAATAAGTAGAGGTAGACGAATAAACTAGATGTTCATCCCTTCGCGCACCAAATCAAAAGATGTTAGATAAAGATAATTATCAAATATGAGAGAAGGCGAAATTTTAACAAGTTAACAAGTGTAAAAATATATTTTCAACTATTTGGCTAATGGATTGGAGGGAGCGAAAGGAATCAATAGTAATAAAAAATTAAATTGTTTCAACCTCGAAAGATCGTATAAACACGTCATCTACCAAATATATAGATTCATTTTTAAACATACTGTTAGATAAGAGGGGGCACATCAAACTCAATGAAACACTTGGGCCTGTTTAACTTGAACCAGATTCTAAAATACTGGTACGCAGACATAGGCAAGCCAATAAATAAAATCTACCATTTTTTGCAATAAAAAAATAACAAGTAATATGGGTAAATTATAAGCTATTTATTGTTTCATTTTAAAATTTAAGGAGAGCATTGGATTTGATCTATCAAATAGAACAATTGTTAGAACAAGCTGCTTTCTGCCCATGTGGAACTTTGTGCAACGGGGCATTCGAGGTACCAAAGAAGTACGTTTCTGAAAATACTGAAAAACTTTTTATTTTATATTACTTTTATAACTTATTTTTTTAGAAATGACGACGAACTTATTTCCCCGGTGAAACTCCAACATCCAAACCGGGAAATTTACATTGAAAGACAAAGAGTGCCCTGCCCTCACTGTCAGAAGAGGTTTCCAGTCGAGAAGTTAGAATACCATAAGAAGATCTGCTTCAAGTACCATCAAAAGAGAAAGGCAGTTGTTCCCTACAACGCAACGAAGCATCGGTTGAGAGACCTATCGAAATCAAACAGAAAAAGGGCAAAGAAAGCAGAACGCCCACCGGTACACTCCTGTATAATTTTGGCTTTATGTTGAACTCTGTACTTTTTGTAATTTTTTCCAGAAACTAACTGAGATCGAATGGAAAGAAGAGCACGAGGAATGGAAGACTCTTATGTCTTCAGATCTAGCTACGAAGAAAGAGGCAATGTTCAAAGACTATCAATGGAAACGTACAAAGATGCGCCAGTGTAAATCATCCGAATACCTCCGGGAAAAAGGAATCATCTCCTGCCCAATTTAAAAACTCGAAACATATTAAAACTGGTGTTATAATGGTATCAAGAAATACATGGTCTCATAAATCCGTTTGAATTATTTTTTCTATGACGGGGGGAGGTGGCCGCAACGACTAAGGCGTTCACACGCTCATCACCGTAAGGTAAGGCCTAGTACACACAAGGCGTTAATTGGCGCTTGCAGCGAGAACACATTGTGACGCTTGAACTCACGTTTTTGGTTCAGTTTCATAATGGAAGACGAAGAAGTAGTTTGTTTATGGTATCTCTACCGTCGTTATAAATTAAGAAGACAAAGACAAAGGCAGCATTGAATTCATTCTATTTTGAGAGATAAATTCACACACTCAGTATGTTCGCAACCCTATACCCAAAGTTGCGTGAATATGAGCCAAAATTTCTCAATTATTTAGAATGTCAGTTAACTCTTTTGACAATTTGTTGCACTTGATAAAATGCAGTATTTCATCATCATTTCAATGAATGAGGGAATCCATTTCTTCAGAAGAAAAACTCGTCGTAACCTTGAGGTAAGTGTATTTATTTAATTTTTTTTTTTTTTTTTTTTNTAAGGCATAGTACACACAAGGCGTTAATTGGCGCTTGCAGCGAGAACACATTGTGACGCTTGAACTCACGTTTTTGGTTCAGTTTCATAATGGAAGTCGAAGAAGTAGTTTGTTTATGGTATCTCTACCGACGTTATAAATTAAGAAGACAAAGACAAAGGCAGCACTGGATTCATTCTATTTTGAGAGATAAATTCACACACTCAGTATGTTCGCAACCCTATACGCAACCCTATATGCGTGAATATGAGCCAAAATTTCTCAATTATTTAGAATGTCAGTTAACTCTTTTGTCAATTTGTTGCACTTGATAAAATGCAGTATTTCATGATCATTTCAATGTATGAGGGAATCCATTTCTTCAGAAGAAAAACTCGTCGTAACGTTGAGGTAAGTGTATTTATTTAATTTTTTCTTTTTTTTTTAAATAATGGTATAAAATAGAAAAGGTTGGCATTATAGAACAAGATTGTAGGAAATATCAAAAACGCATTTAAGGCAATATATGAATATTAAAGATTTAAAAAATCCAAAACTTCCGAATCATGCTCGATGCTGCACTGCTTGACCGTAAAACAACCTCTGAACTACTCGCATATGAAAAACGTGTAGGTTCATGATAGGCTGGCATCACTCGTGATGGTTGTAAATGGTATGCTCTATATCAAAATTATCCGTCTTTAACGTCATCGCTTGGAAATCGCGCGTACAACTGAATAGTTGTACTAGGATGTAGGTACTTCGAGACATTGGTCAATCGCGCGTTAGTTGGGGAAACTTCGAAACGCGCGTTGGAGCGCCTGTTGAGCAAAAGCGCGCGTTGCTATGTGTCCGCTTCTGTTACCTCCTTGGTATTTCGCTGAAGAGCGTTAGCCCGATCGCGCGATTCAACGCCTTGAGTTGGCCTAAACGACTGCGGTTCGAATCCAGCGGACCAGATTTCAAACTCGACTTACAATTGGGCTTTTAACAGCCACCACGAGATTTCTATATCTTCGTAGTTGAAATACTCTTACTAGAAAAATTAAACAAAAAAGTAATAAAACAATAAAAAATAAGTTAACCTATTTGGTCGTTATTTTTCACGGTTTCATTTATGTTATGTTTAATTGTTTTAGACGCCGCCGTCGTAGGTTTGATTACACGTCATTTCCTCCACTCCACACTTCCATCCCAAATATTGTATTTATTACGATAATTAACTGAATCGAACTTTGGCATATGTAAGTTCAAAAGACCATTTAAAAAACTATATATACAGGTTGTATCAACTTCAATTGTCCACCTATTTAATTCGGAAATGATTAACTTTACCAAAAAGTGATCTTATACCCCTTATATAAATAATGAACTATTGGTACACCCTGTACATATATACATATATGTGTGTGTGTGTGTGTGTGTGTGTGTAAAGTAATGTATTTTTTGTGTGTTCACGTGTCAAAGTGTGTGCACTATCAAAACGACACACAAGAATGACACATCTACACGGAAAACAAACACTTTTTTAGCCCTGAAGATGATCTCAATAAAGATCGAAACGTTGACATGATAAAGAAAATGTTTTTATAAAACCTACGTCACACCAGACCGCATCTCACGATCTCCGAATAATCTTTTAATTTAAGTACAAATTACGAAAACATCTAAAATTAAAACGCTGTTACAAAAGTTTGACGTCATTTTCTGATTTGAAATTGCGGTATTTCACTGCTATTACGTAGAAGGGTAATAAGTTAGAAGCTTTGGGGTCCTCGACAGATTTTATGGGGATAATAACAATGTGTGGATAGGGGGTTAGAGGTGGAAGAACTAATATCGTATAACAATCTTGGTTTGAAGAGAGACTAGATAATAAGATAAACTCCAAGCTATTTTAAGAAGCGATCGGTTTAGAATTTCGCATGAATTTAGATATATACATAAGCTGAACAGTAATTTTATTTATTCATTAGATAATTTTTCTGGTGTTGATGTTTTAAAATTAATTTTCTGTAAGTTAGTTTAACAAACTTTTCCACCTTGTTGCTCGGAACTGAATTGACCTCAGGAAATAAAATTTGTTGATTACGTCAATGGCGAAGGTTGATTTGAGTTGATTAGTTCCCACAGACGTGTCGAGAAATATGAAAAGGGCTAGAAATGTAGCCGTGATCCGTTGGTATGTGCAGCGGGATCTCGAGAGAGCCAGGGGTCTCCTAATTCCATCCGGCAACTCTTAAGAAAGTCCGAGGGTGTATTCCAGCTTGCCGAACTGCCGGTGGCCTGGGGCCTGGCCGTGGGCTGCTAATCAGACCGTAGGACGTATCGGCTGTACAATCACCTAGTTTTTCTACCAGTTCGAAACCACGCCCTCTTGCGAAAAACCGCCCCTGTCCGGTAACAAGCTTTCTGGAAACAGCTAATTAAGATTGCCTGAGGCTACTACCTTATTTTCTTCCCTGTTCGAAATACTTACAAATTCGCCTCGAATTACAACGTCGGACACATTACCATCTGTTACACTTACTTTCTTTCCTCAAAATTATATGAAAAAAAATTGTTATAAACTTTTAAAACATTATATTACATTTTACATCGTACAAAACTTTCCGACAAGTTGGAAAATTCTGTGATATGAGACGCGCAGACGCAAGATGAAATCTTACAAGAAAACTTACAAATCTATAAAGAAAAAGACGTTTAGATAAAGAAAAATCAAATTAAGCAATCCATCTAACAAAAACCACTCGTTAAATTTAATAGGTAAGAAGGGGCGTCGGTTGCCACAACTTTTAATGCGTTGTTGACACAGCGCTTATCACTCTAAGGTAAAAGTCCGGGGTTCAAATCCAGCGGCCCTGCATTCGATCCCGACATACAAACAAATGGGATTTTTTTCAAAAACACCGGCACACCCACTCGGTTATATTCACACTCGGTTAAATATAGTTCACTCGGTTATATTTTTGTAGTTAATTTAGTACATCTGGAAGGCCGGGCCTTAGGTGTTTGCTATTCAGTTACTAATTATTTCAGATTCATTTTCGCATTCCAATAATATTACTGACAGCTTTTACAGCAATTACTCGTGTTTATAATTTTTTACATGTTTGGTGTGACCCCTGTTAACTCTTATTTCGCTTGTCAAATTTCATAAATGGAGAATCGAAATTTTTCATAAATGAAGTCACCAAGATACAAAAGGTAAGTTTTTATAACAGGGTACTAAGGGGGTACCATTCATTACACAAAATGATACACGCATACGGCGTTTCGGGATGCACACCACGCTGGCCTCTTCGCACGTTCTTTGGATTTCTTGATCATGTTGGTATATATGTTTTGCTATTCCATAAGATAGCTAACCCCAAGAAAAACCTCAAAAGAAAAACGTTGAGATACTTGGCTCACCAGCTTTTCAAGCCTCACATGGAACGTCTGCTCAGCACAAATTTGCCACGTCAACGTGCACAAAATGCTAAAGTTTTCGTTTGGAAAAAATGCCGTTGAAAGAAGAGCAAAAATTTCCTTTAAAACTTCAAAACAATCATGATGTCAATTTTCCCCTCGACCTAAGGACAGAAATGTAATAATTGCTTGAACGAAATGCTGAAAACCAATATAAGTGATCGGTGAGAACACTGCTTCAAGAACTGATTTTTCCTGCAACTTTCAGTTTCTCAGTTTTCTCTCCTATACAAAAATCAATTTAATAGAAATATAAATGTTTAAATAAATCGTTGCATTAAAAAATACTGTTTTTATTCAATAATCGCCTTGGGTGACGAGTCCATGTTAGAAATCTTAGGTGTCAAAATCGGTCACCAGCGGAAGGTTAAGATATTTACTCTATTTTACAAAAAATACATAAAAAATATTATTAAAAAACCTCTGAACGAATAAAAAAGTGGCACAATTTTTTTTTTGAAATTTTATTCGCTTCATCGATTTTTGGATACGCAATAAGGGATGTGTTTTTCAGCGGCTAGTTTGTTGAACTTTCTTCCACATCCTGGGCATGGAATCCTGTCGTCCGCTTCCATCGGTGGTGGTGCACCTCCTGGTTTACCTCCACTTCTTGTGCTGGTTCTAGTACTCCCTCCTCCGCCTTTCCCGGTGTCCTTATTGCCTATCCAATTGTTGTGCGCCTCTTTCCAAGGAACGTTTACCAATTTCTGTTTTAAAAAAAAGACAAAGAAATTTTAAAAAGAGGATAACTTCAGTCGGAGCTAGAGAACAGATTTGGCGTTCAGCCGTCTATGAACTTCCTAATCGCAGAGCTCCAACTAGAGAATTTGACAGAACAATAACAATAATATTTGTGATATTACCTATAGGGATCTTTCGTGGAGATGAACCTATAGTTTCGATGTTTCATATCTTTTTTCGTCTGTTTGTCTACGCTGTTTTAAACTCAGTGTTTCGTCACAATCATCGGAGATGGACCTTGGTGATTTCTGTTTAGTTGGATTCCTTTTATAAGTTTGTGAATAGTGGGATGAATATGTAGGTGTCACCAAGACAAATCGTCACTTAACGGCATTTCAAGTTTTTTTATTGCTACACCAATATCCAAAGAAACCCCGACACACTTCTTTTCCTTTTCACAAAATACCTAAATTTAATCCATCAAACCTCAATAAAGACAGGCACTATTTGTTGATATACTGCTGGATTTTGGACGCAAGAAAGTAAAGAGGAAGAAGTTTTGGTCCCAAAATCAAATATTCAGAGCCCGTGGGCAAGTACACAGTATCTTTCAAACTGAAATCAACGGAGTAGAGAGATTGATCAATTTGAATAGACGATATTAAAACAAGTACATAGGCATCATGTCGGATAGCCAGGCAGCCATCAGAGCAATAAACACTAATATCATTAGCTCCAAAATTGTGCTAAATTTCAAAACTAAACAAAAAAGATTTGGGGTGCACAAAAAAAAGTTATGCGTTTCTGAGTTCCTAGGATACAAGAATAGATATGGGAAAGCAGAAGCGGATGACCTTGCAAGGAGAGAGCTGGTAGGCCCTGAACCCTTTTCAGATATAGATCAATAATAATCAATAAATACATGAGGAAAGTGAGGAAATTTTGGAATTCACTCACTAGACACAAACAATCCAAAAATGTGCTGACGAAATTTGTAAAGAAACATTAAATGCTTCAAAGCAACCTAGAAGATACCACATATGCTAAGAGGATTCTTCACACGGCAGACAGAATGGACATTTGATTAAGAATTGATGAACTAGAACTGAAGAATTGTAAAGACCTATGTGCAGATACTTCTAAAAATCAGAAGCAGAAGTGACTTCACGCACCTACTAGCAGACCATGGGCTAAGTTAACCGCAGGAGAAAATGTTTTGAGATGTACAACATAATCGTAGAAGAAAAGCAATTCTAAAACTAGAGCTAATGCAGTCTACACAAGGTTTACTCAAATTGAACTGAACTGGTTTCTTACTAGATTCACTAACCAATAAGTGACACATATCCACACACGAATCTATTCAAAAAAAGATCCAAATCAGTAGTTTTTTCAGTGATATTATGGAAGGAACATCATCCCTGTCTTTGTTCGTTGTCATTAATTCGATTGTTGCTTCAAGCAATGAAGCTGTCGTACCAGCACTATTATTTCTAATGATAAAGAATACGAAGAAGAGATTGCGTGATATGCGTTTTCGAACTTCACGCATGCCTTTTCAGTGTCGTCTTTCTTCTCGTGTGAAGTTGTGTAAAACAAGAATTCAATTCTCTTACAAATAATATGTTTACCTGTTGATAGTCCATCTTGAAAATCACCAGAAACTGAGCAACTTTGCCGGAACTGATCAGAAACGTATTGGCAACGCGTCAAGGGGGTGCAATATGTAAAATTACTACGAATATTTTACATATAATCAATTTATGGATAGACAGCGATACTACTGCCACTTTTCAAAAACTTATACGTATGGAAATCAACCGAACTGAAATTACACAGACTAAGGTCGATGAATGGAACAAGCCAAAACGCGTCTGACGACCAAAATCGCACGGATGTGCAGACCAAATTGATCAGAAACGACAAACTACAATAATAAAAGTATCACGACATAATGTAAGTAGTTATCATAACCGATAATCATAATATATTATCTAGGATCTTCAATTTTTAATCTTTTTGTTCGCATTTGGAATATTTTATATAGAACTGGTAGCCCGAGAAAATGACGGCCACTTTGAGAAGACCAGCCTGTTGTTGCAATAATTTTTCAATTTACATGTTGCGTACATTTTAAGATAGTCCTTGGTGATTGTGGTGGGATGGGGTAGTAATACTTAGTAAGTCGATAAGGTTAGCATCTCATCGGTGGAAGCTAAAGCATACGTTACCGGTGGTTTTTTGGACTTTGTTACTCTTCTTATGTCTTTTTCCTGAAGGAGGTGGTTGAGACGCTGTTTGGCTGAATCGAAGGGCTGCCTTTTTTTGGAAGAGTGCGTGCGGCAGATAGCCGAGTGAACTTCGATCCTGTCCTCGGCGAACAGCCTTCTGCAGAATTGACAAGCCACTCTGTTGACCGCAGGCCCTTGGCTAGGAGGCCGCGGTCCTGCAGACTGCCGTGACCCGGGATGAGGAGCAGTCGATCTAGACATCTGCGGGCCTGTATTCGGACCGTACGTCGGGGCTCGGCTTCCACTAGGCGGTTGCGACGGCGGTCCTGGCCGGTTTGATGGTGGTTGCCTCGACATGATTCAGGATGCACCTTAAAGTTTAATTGGTACACAATTCTCTTTCAACTTTAACTCAACGTGATAAGTCTTTAATGTTTAATATTTAAAATATTGAAAAATAAAAATATTTTTTTAATGCGTGCTTGTTCATACTTCCAAAAACTAATTGTACTATTTCTAATCAACAATCACCAAAATAATATAAGGTCTAAATTACACCTGCCAAGTACACTCAGATTGAGAGAATGTGTAACATTTTGGAACTTCAAAAAATATATAGGAAAGAATAATGAAGATACACTAGTAAATAGTAACAATTTAGTTCATAATTTAACATTTAAAAAATAAAATTAGGCCTGGTGTACTCAGGTTGCAAGAAACTATAAATATTAAACCACGGAAATAATCCAATATCGGCAAAAAAATCCTTGAGGAAAAAATGGCAGAAAAAATTAAAATGCTTAATCTTTAAAATAAAGTAAATAAATGTAATAAATAATGTATATAAATAAATGTATATAAAAGTTGTATTTATGTAAATGTATAAACTTTCAAAGTAATTGTTTAGCACACAATGCGTACCAATTAAACCATTTTACCTACCTATAGGACGACCATTTCCAAACTGTACTTTCGGCCCTTTCAGCTCGTTGTCTGAAATTTTCATATTTCAATTAATTTATAATTAATTAACATGGTTCCACTTAAATAGAACTGTTAAAGCAGAATAACGTGAGAGAGGTAAATAAAGAAAATGATAATTGAAGTAAGTAATCGATGTTTCACTCATTTCAGAAAAGAACATGAAAATATCTGTTGTTCCCATAAAGACCGTTAAATCTTTCGCTTACCCCAATTTGAGGCAGACGTTAATATCCATATTTGTTATAAAACAATGTACCACTCAAGTATAAACAGGAAAAAACTAAATACCTCGACCTCCTCGGAAAGGCGCACTTCTTCTCGATGTCAGGTTTTCACATCATATGTTTTTGTTTTATTTATTTTTTTATCATAACAATGGGTATTGGAAAACAACCAATATTATTTGTCCGAGAGGGCTGCAAATTGATTCTCTTTTAGAAATGGAAGGTCGATTTGAAATGTTTATGAGCATTTTTATTGTAGCAGTCGTTTCGTAGCACTTTTTTAATGCAATAGAATCCAACTCACAAACGAAGCTATTTCACAGCTGTAAATAAATTTTATATAAGCATATTTCATTCATACAATAAATCATCCTTTTTTTTCAACAGTAAACATCATTTTTAATTTTAGTCCTTTTGCAAAAAATATTTGTTGATATATAATTTTTTTAAATTTGATTGCTCGATACATTGAAAACATATTTCGTAGAAATAATAACAGCCGTAAAATGTTTAAGCTTCTGCTTAAAATTATATTTTCACCTACACCTCCAAATGGTGCGTTTTAATCCTTTTGAACCCTTCTCGCGTGTAATTTTATAACCACTTACGATTCCAAGTTTAATTAACATAACAACGCTGTAACTGTCATAACTTTTACATAAAAGAAATTTCAGCCATCCTCAGAAATTGTTAATTGTTGAAAATAACAAAAAGGTTAACCGGGAATGTATATAAAAAAAATAGAAAAAAAGAGTTGTCATTGTTATAGGAATTGTGTAAAAAAACATTCAAGTAAACCAAGTAATTAAACAATTTTTTTCCGCAATAATCACAGCTAAGTTTCGTATAATGCGTATTGTATGATATATATATATATATATATATATATATATATATATATGAAATGCGTATGTAATAATGCGTGTATAATAAACATGTAAACATAAAACTTTACCATTGCAATAATTTTTATTACTCATCACTAAGTTGCATACAGTACTCAATTTATGAAATAAATTTGTTAAGTTAATTAATCCTCCTGTGATAAACATCCATACATTTTATCGCTATTTTTTTTACACTTAAAATCAACTATTTTGCAATCATGAAATATTTCCTGAAATCCGCTATATACAAATACTATTTTAATTGATCTTGGTGTCATTTGAGTTCATATTTTGTTTGTGAATAGGTCATTACCAGTCGTTTTGGCATGTCTATCCTTGATGGGTTGGACTGTCGACCATTTCGGCATTTCGTCACATTCCGTTTGTCTGTTTGTACTGTACAGTTTTCGGTAGAGTTCTTGAACCTAAATTTTTGAAATTTGTTTCCATGTCTGCCCATGCGAACTCCGAAAATGGGGAAATGCCGAATCGCGTCTGTCCACACAATGATACTTAATTATATTGTTCCAGCACGTCCTTTAAAAAAAAGAGTGTATTTTTATAAATCAGGAAAAATACATTACATACATTTCCATATTTTAAGATCGACTTTACTATCAAAAATATTTTTGGTATATTGAAACCAAGCTTTCGGTGTTTGATTCCACCTTCCTGGGGCTCTACAATATAATTTTTTATAATTACTCAGGTAAGTAAGTGAAAATCAGCAATAAACTTATTTTTATTGTGGATTTTCACTTATATAGCTTGGTAATTATACATTATATCCCAATTAATTATTCTTTTTATGTAAGGTATTTGGTCGAGATGAAAAATTAGTTTCACGAGCGGGATCTCAACCAAAAACCATAGACAAAAAGAATAATTAATTGGAATAATTAATATGGTCAGTTATGACCACTAAGCAAATGGATTAATTTAAAAAAATATATGTTTCTATATCCGTTGTAGAGCCCTGAGGAAGGTGAAATAAAACACCGAAAGCTTGGCATAGTTTTAACAAACAACATTCTTTGGACCACATCTCCGATCTCCAATTATATTGTGAATAGTAGCTGGTCGATCACCTTTACGTCATATCAGAAATATTCAAGGGGGAATAATTTACACCGGTATAACAATGAAAAATGCATAGGATACACAATCTACATATGGTAGTTTTTTAAATTAATTTTAGAAAACTTTATTATACGTTAGTACATTACAGTTATGCTAATACAAACAACATATAATTTTAAACATGAAACTTGTTGGGTATCGGTAAGCCTCCTTTATAATTTAATTAATTAACAACAATAATTATATAACAATAAATATAATTCAACTTAACCAACTCTTTAGCACATAACGTGTGACACAACTAGACACTCACCCAGACGTTTTCTCTTGAGCCTTCTTCTATCTTGAGGGGGTGGCGGGTTGAGCGCTTCTTCTCTGAGGTTGTGTTGTTGTGCGTCAGGAGAGATTGGTGTAGCTTGTTGTATAAGAATGTAGTCCTGTCCTGAATCAATGGAACAATGACGTCCTTGTGTATTGTTCCTAGTTCCTGATGAACCACTACGACTTTCTTTTACTTGTCCCGCTTCTAGGCCCTTTAAGGGCTTTGCAGGTAGTTCCTGATGAACCGGGAGCTTCCGTGATCATCTCAAGCAACGATTTTGAAATACCTGGATTCTGTTTATTTGTGTTTTGGATGACGTAGCCCACGTCCCGCTGGCGTAAGCCCACATTGGCATTATTAACATTAAGTGTATTAGGCGTTTGTTAGGAAGATTGAGGGGGGAACTGGCATTCAGTAGAGGTCTTAGCTGGTAGAATTTGCTTCATTGAGTAGACTTGATATATGTGCGTTCCAAGTCAGTTTGTTGTCAAGCTCCAGCCCCAGGTATCTTACTGAAGTGCATATTGGTATATTTTCTCCCGTGAATCTGGTTGCAGTTTCTTTTTTAGGATGAATCTAACGAGTTTCGATTTTTATGTGTTCACTTTTGCTCTCCAGTTATTGCATCACGTCTCAACTTCGTGTAGGTACTGCTGTAAATTTGTTTGGGATGTTTCAAAGTCGCCTTTGGAGAGAGCTGCGGTGTCATCGGCGAATTGGGCTATTGTAAGTGACTCGACTTGTGACCTTGGGAAGTCAGAAGCATTTATCTATTTGGATTGTGACTGGTGGTTTTCTATTCTGACTGAGGTGGTCCTATTTTATAAGTACGACTGGATAATACGGTATAATTTATCATCTAATTATTCTTTCAACTTGGAGAGTAAGCCAGGGTGCCACACTTTATAAAAGGTTCTTTCTACGTCGAGGAACACAAGCAAACTGATTTTTCCTCGAAGGTTTGTAAGATTTTGTCTATAACTCTATGCAGTTGATGTTGGCAGGAGTGGTTCGATTTGAATCTAAATTGTGTGCCCGGGAGCAAAGGTGCAAAAGGAAGCAGGAGATGAGGAAGAATGCGTCGTTCATAGATTTTAGCGAAGAGTGGTAGAAGACTAATTGGCCTATAAGTAGCTGAGTCAATTTTTGGCTGGTTTTGTGAATATTTTCGAGATTGGACGCATAGATTGAAGCTTTTTGTGGCATCCCGAAAGTTGGCCCTTACAATTAGTACAAATAAGAGGGGCCGAAGTTTTTCGAGTTCACTGTGATGGTAAGTGCAGGCACATTTAGCAGCTCTATGGCAGAAGTTAGTGCGCCTATAGTCTTGGCATTTCATGCACTGTACGTTTAGGTTTAGCAGGTTCAACTTTCACAACAGCTCCATAAAGTCGGTCTAATTTGTATATGGTTTCATTTAGTGGATTTGGCTTGAGGTTTAGGAAAAATAAGGATAAAGGTGCTTTGGTGACCGGGTGATAGACTGCTATCATTTGAAACCTTGTTCTGTTAATTCTTCCATCATTAACTTAGTGTCACACGAGTGGTGAAGCCCTCTAATTACAACGCGAAAGCATTTCTCGCTTTTTAGAAGATACGTATAGTATTCAGCTTTGTTGGATTCCAGATATTTTGTCATTTGATAGTATCGAAAGTGAATTTTACTTTATTTCCCACTGTTGTGTAATTGAATGTTTCAATTCTCAGATTTTTTAAATCTAACAATTTAGAATTCATGATATTAACGTTTTAACAATCTGGTTTTTCATTTGTTTCAGTTAACATCGTTTCCTCTGTTTGCAAAACTGCAAATGGTTTTGGAGTTATAAACGATAAACCATTTAATTTTAATCTTTTCTGTTCTGGTGAATCACTATTCATTTTTAGTTATTAATAAATTTAATTTTATCAATAAATCTTTTTTAAATTTGATCCCAGTATTCACGATTTAATAAGGATTTTCTTGCTGGACAAACGCGTATTTGATTATGTACGCGGATTTAGCCTTTTACGAGCCGTTCACGAAATCTGTTCACTACAACGAACAGACACGAACTCATAGTAGTTTTGATTTAAAAAAATTATTTTGTTCAAAAAATACACTTCATACACTTAATTATAAACATTATTCCTTTAAAGCAAACAAAGCCGAAGCTCAGAAAAACGACTAAATATTTAGGTTTTTTGTGGGGATAAAAATGTCAAAACCTATAATTATTTTAATAGCTGATGATATGTTCGTATCAGTCTTAACATTAAAACAAAAACACTCAGTTCCTTCGGCAACCTTTCGAGAAGTATATCCCCTGAATCTGGGCATTGAGTCTATTTCTCATCGTTTACATGGTAAACAAATCTAAACATTTACTTATAATTTTTAAAATTGTACATGACAATTTTAATGTAGAGTGGTTAGGTATGGCATGCCCAATAAATATATGCCACAAGTCCCCGTCTGTACACTCTACTAAGTTAAACTCATAATCTTATTGTGGTTGAAGCCATAATTTCAAATATTGTCAGTAGAAGTTTGTACTGTTAACCGTATTAGTTTCAGTCTTGATGAACGGGGAATGTCCATCAATAGGTTGACGAAGGAACTGAGTGTTCTTCAATCGTTCAAATTTGTCTTATTCCTGACATTTATATGCAAAAATATTTCATCTATTCCTACTACTTTGTTCTGTAAGGTTTGCAACATTGATGTCGATGTTTTATCATAAAATGTTTTTAACAATGACTTTCTATTGTACTATAAAACTTGCCTAATTATGGTATGTGAACCGTACATGGGCAGGTTTGCTTTCATGTAAGAGATTTTTGATGGATTTCCGATTGATGTGGGTACTTTCTAAGCCCGACATTCACATGCTTGTTTTACCTGGACTTAATACGGAGGGGGGTTATTGCAATATACGCTGTTATAAACTCGGATATTGGTGGCTCGTACTACCTACTAATTATTAACTTGGGGAGTTCTTTACAGTTTATATTTAGTTTATTAGTAGAATAAGTTTAAACAGGTTTCTCCCGCAATTTTTAGTCTACGACATTCGAAAAAGTTATTTTGAAGTTTCTTCTTAAGTTTAACATATTAACAACAATAAAATAAATAATCTAGCTCCTTTCTTCACTTAGAGATGCAGCGACCACGAAATAAATTTTGTTTGATTGTTATTTAAACTTGTGTGTTTTATTTTATTTATTTTCCGTATTGCTTCTGTGGCTAGGACAGGAGGTTTGTTTATAATATTGCAGTGTCATCTGTATAGTTTGTGAGTATCAACGTCTGCTAAACATTTGTTTAAAATGGATTGTGCATGACCAAATCCCAAAGCATGTATAACATCTTTAACGAATGGGACTTTAATAACTTATGGATCGTGTGATTGTTGACGTAGAAGAGAGCATTGAGGATAACTTTCGATTGAGAATTGAATGATTTGGCCGAGCCCCACAATTTGATTCCATAAGTCCAAATAGTCTGATGAGTGTTTTGCAAGCAGTTAGTTTTTATGTAAATTGTTATGTTTGCTTAGTGGTGATTTTGATTCCAATGGGCGTCTTAGTAGTCTTAATTTTTTGTTAAGTTTTGTCTTTTAATCTTGTATGTGGGTTCCATACAAGACTGCTGAGTAAAGTCCAAGGAAGGACTTAGTTCAATGGTGCTATTATCTTGTTGTTAATGTTGGTGAGCAGGTTTCACTTATGAGTTTGAACGTAACTTGTTGACTCTTTTGCTCATTCAATTTGATCCGACAGCGGGTGCTCAGTCGGTGATGTCGTTCAGCTGTTGTCGGATTGCTTCTGTGGCTAGGACAGGATTGTTGTTTGTTTATAATATTGCAGTGTCATCTGTATAGTTTGTGAGTTGTGTGTTTGACTGCAGTCGGCAGTGTAGATGGTATAGAGGATTGGGCCTAGGATACTTCCTTGCGGTAAGCAAGCTTGGTTTGCCGGGATGGGTGAAAAATCGGTGTCGATTCTCAGGGAGAAGGACTTCAGGATGAAATAGTAAGTATGATGGAAGATACGTTTTAACTTATAAAGGTGGCCGATTTGCCACACTCGGTAAGTGCTTCCATATGGCTGATGAGTATTGATTTCTAGAGCGACGCCCCTCTCTTTCTTCAGCCACTCATGACCCCGACAGAACAAAGAGCCGCTTCCTTTCGACCTTCGTCGACGCTTTACGCACTGTTCCGCGGGCTCGCTCAGAACGACCTCTTCGAGAAGAAATTGAAAATCCTTGAAGGTTGAGTTCTAAGTTCCTGTGTCGAGGACAGGAGTGGCGGGAGCACTTTCCCCCCGGCAATCATTCTTGAACGACGTGTCTGAATGAACGACTTCCGCGACGTCCAGCTTGACGTGCCTCCTCTCCTGGGCTTTGTTCGCGGCTGACGAGAGGATGGATTCGTTGCGGGACTGTTCGACGATGACGACCGGGTCCTTGGGCTTGGGTCCATCCCTTCCCAGGATGGTGGAGGAACTCCTCGGCAGTTTTCTGGGCGGCTTAAATTGGCCAATGCGGCTGATCGACAAATGCAAAATGGGAAAAAAATCTTTTAATAAAACTAAATGTAATGAAAAATATACATGTAAAAAATAAGAAGATTATTTAGATGATGATGAGAGTAAATTCCGGTAAAAAACGACCAAAAAAGTTAATTTTAAGAAATTAAATTAAAAAACCACACGAAAAAAATGTATACAAAAAGAACACAATTTATAATTATAATAAGACGATACAGTCTTTAAAAAATCCATGTTACACAATAATCGTTGACATCTTAAATTATGTAAAACTTAATCAAAATATTTATAGTTGGCTAGTTGTTGTTGTAGATCACAAGATTTTAGATTTCCTCCTATAATATCGGCAACTCGTCAATAACCATGTCATTGACGCAATTGTCATGGCAGTTGTTTGCTCTGTGTTATAAACGGAATGTAATGTCATTATTTAAAATTTCGTTTACACAGTCTGTGTTTGTCCGTGGAACTGTTAACACCTTCTACGATATTCAGCATAAACGTTGGATTTTTCCAGTCCCCTTTCAGGGAGTACAGATTTTTTCCTTTTTTGCAAAATTTTTTTACAATTTAAATAACGTTTTATTTTATTTCACTATAAGGATCATTTCTTTTACATTATTATTCTCCTTTTCCCACAGAATCTGATGGAAGTCACAGATTCGACTCTTGTACCGGAGCCGCCTGATAAGGACGACTGCTTTAAGGTCAAACGTAGTCAATGGTGTAGGAAATACGTTTTGATGGCTCTGATTCCTGCCTCAGGAAAAACCTTCAATGATTATAGTCCTTTTCGGGTCTGTAAATTTATAAAAGGTTACTGTCCTCAAATTTCACTCAAATTTCTCAAAAATGGTTCAGTCCTATTGGACGTAAAACATGAAAAAGATTTCCAAAATCTGAAGTATGTTTCCACTTTCGAAAACATCTCTATTAAATATGAACTGCATAAGTCACTAAATTACTCAAAGAGGGTAATAACCGTTGGAGAACTTTTGCGGTGTAGCGAAAGCGAAATTGAAGATGAACTTAAGTCGCAGGGAATATGTAGAGTGAAACGTATATTCAAAATGGTAAACGGTCTCAAAACTCCAACTCCCACCTTAATACTCACATTTGAAACACTCGAATTGCCTGAAAAGGTATCGTTTAATTTTTCTAACGTAAGAGTCCGACCCTTCGATCCTAATCCGATACTCTGTTTTGCGTGCTATCGTTATCGGCACACACAAACCTCATGTCAAAGTAGGATCTGCGGCAAATGTGGGGAATCCACCCACACAATTACGGAATGTACTAACGAGCCGAAATGCGTGAACTGTGGTGATGCACATCCATCTTTCAGTCGACAGTGCCCGGTTTACATCAAGGAAAAGGAAATTGAAAAAATAAGAAACAGAGAAAAAGTTTCCTATAAGCAGGCAGAATATATTTTCAGAAGACTGAATGTCAATGCATCCACTCCTGCACAAAAGTCTTACTCTCAAACTGTATCCTCAAACTTGCCCTATCCTTCCATCCCGACCACCTCTTCCTCATCAATTAGTATCCAATCTCCAACTGTTAATCTCCCCCCTGAGAACCTTCCTTCAATAATTGGTACACTAACTAACGGAATAAATAAGCTGCATGATGCCGTTGAATTCTTAATTAGAAAAATTAATGACATCGAAAAGAGCCGACCATCACTTTCAATAGACACGACAACTTCAACCCAGTTAGGAAGTAATTCTTGTGAACCAGTTATCATAAACATGAAAACAATTAAAAAACAAACAGGAAATATCGGTCCTACGACACTCCTTTCGGGTAACCAGAGAAATCCGGGATCGCAATCGTCAAATACGTCTCTGGATAGGATATTACCCAAAGCAACAATTACTCCATCAAGTAAAAAAAAAGGTATATATAAAATAACAATGTAATAAGCATAACTAATTACATTACCAACTTATTCTCCTAGTCTAAAAATTCCAAACACTTATTATAATGAAAATACTACAGTGGAATTTAAACGGTCTGAACGTCGCCCTTCAACACACAGCCTTGACAAATACAATGCGGACAAAAAAAAAAGCCAGATATATTATCAAAAAAAGTAAGATTTCTGGCGGAGATTTCTTAAGAATACCACTTCCAGCACTCCCGTAGGTGTTTTCTAGGATACAGTCAGAAAAATAATAGGCAGGGATACATACAAACCATCCATAGCATACCTCAAAATAGGAAATGCGGAATTGCTACAACCCCTGCTACCATTGCCAACATTTTTGTCAAGCATTATCACGATGTATCCGCTACAGCAAACTATACCAATTCCTTCATCTCCATTAAACAAGGCCGGGAAAAAACTTCTTTAATTGTAACGCATGCCTCATCTAATCCGCTAAACTTTCCATTTACCGAAACTGAATTTATGGTTGGCCTAAACTTGCGCAAAGACACTTCTCCTGGCACTGATAACATATGTAGTTCATTCATCAAAAATTTAAAAACTTCGGATAAAGCAATCAAAACTTATTAACAGAATCTATGGATATGGGGAGTTTTCAAACATCTGGGAAACCGCGTGCACAATACAGATCCTTAAAAAAGATAAGCATCCGCTGGAGGTAAAAAACTATCGACCCATACCCTTAACCTGTTCCATGTGAAAACTAGCTGAAAAGACGATTGCGAACAGATTACACTGGTACCTAGAGACCCGAGGGTTGCTGCCTGAATGGTAAAGCTGCTTTCGGAGAAACAGTAGTGCAAGGGATAATCTTGTAAATCTAGAACAAACTATATGGGACACTCCAAAACAAAAATAAATTATTAGCAGTATTTCTTTGATATACAAAACGATTTTGGCCGAACATCGAGATGTCTAATTATAGACACGCTAAAGAGTTTAGGGATTTCAGGAAGTATGCTATTATTTATTATGAACTTTCTAGATGGAAGTTTTCGTGTGAGATGTGGCGCCGCTTACTCAGAGAGCTTTGCTCAGGAAAATAGAGTCCCCTAGGGCAGTGCGCTTAGTGCTACACTTTTCTGTTTAAACTTTAATGAGGTAATTAAGCATATACAATCGCCGGGTAGAGCAATGCTGTACACAGATGATCTTTTATTGTACTGTCAAGGAAATAATATAACAACTCTACAAGACGACGTGCAAACAAGGCGAAATGAAGTACAACGATGGCTATGCACTAATGGCTCTACTGTGTCCATTGAAAAGGTAGCAGGAATTCTGCTCTCTGAAAGACGACATAGTAGCTGTCCATTTTTGTGCATTTCAAATAACCCAACCAAACTCGTAGATCGAGTTCCCTATCTTGGAGTTATTTTTTATAAGAATCTAAATTGGACTGCTCCCTTCAAAACTTTGAAATCCAAGTGTTCCCAAGCACTGAATGTCATGAAGATCGTAAAGCTCATGCTCATGGAGTGCTGATCGCAAGGGGCTTGTGTGTCTATACAGAATATTTGTGCGATCGCGTCTTGAATATGTGGCAAATGCTTTTGACTTAGCCTCAGCGAGTAAAATTTGTATGCTTGACCCTATACAAAAGACCGGATTTAGAATAATTACGGGCGCCTTTCGGTCCAGTCCTATTAATAGTCTCCAGTGGATGCTAGAGAGCTTCCTTTAAAATTCCGAGAAACTTATTAGATCTAAAATATGTTTCCAAAACGATTTCCTTTCCTGCACACCCACTTTTTTTTTTCTGGAGGTATCTCTCCACATAATAGCCAACTTACTAAGAAGCGAACCTCTTTCTCTGCTAGAATATCTCTAATGTTACTGGATATACATTCACGATACCACCATTGCAAAAAGAAACTTGTTCAGTCACACCTCCCTGGCTATTACCAAAACCAAAAGTAATATTGTCATATATATATATATATATATATAAAACAATCGGACGGCTCTCGTGGGAGCAGCTTGTGTTGTTGGAGACAGAAAATATTAAAATATTTATTCTCCTTAAGTTCAATAGCGAGTAACTATACAGCCGAAATGACAGTAAAAATGAATATTGATTGCTCGAACAATACACTGGTCGTAAGCACTGACTCAATGTACGCCCTACAGGCCTTGAACCACCCGTTCTTAAATAACCCCTGGTCCAGGAGTCCTTTATTCACTGAGGTGTCTTTCACGGGGAAGAGAGTCATTTTTGTTTGGATCCCTGGGCACATGAATATTTTAGGAAACGAATTGGTAGACACAGCTGCCAAAGAGGTATGCAGTAAATAGCACCAAAATCAGGGAGACCACAAGGAATGATTTAACTTCCGCTTTCGAAATTAAAGTATGGACAGAGTGGCAAAAAATTGCGTCAGAGGTCACAGACAACCAACTCCGGGAAATAAAATGTACTGTTCGAGTGTGGCCTTATTCATTTAGAGTTAAAAGACGAGAAGAAGTGATCCTAAGTAGGCTGAGAATCGGGCACAATAGAGCCACCAAACACACTATCCGAACTTTTAGGTGATAATCAGGACACACTTACAACTTTTTCAACATTTTTTAAGTGAAGCTAATCTACTTAACAAAATATAAATGAGTAATATGTAACATGGGACATGTTACATATGTGGCCGGGGACGGGTCGTGTGGCTGGGCATGCTGGGGGGTTGTGGCGTGCCGGATTTGGTCGTGGGTCGGGCGGGGTACAAGAGGTTTTGCGTTTTTAAACCCCAGGTGCGCGGGACTTGGGTGGCGGCACATACACTCACGTCCCCTTAAACCTGTGTCAGAAAAGTGGTGGACGCAACAACGGCCGCCTCCCGCACGATTCTGGCCTGGTTCGGTTCGGCTGCGCCCTTCTGGTGTGTTCTGGTTCCTCGATCCTCCTTCCGCAGGGGGATCCTCTTAAGAGATTCGGGGCTAACATGACCCTTGGTGGTTTCGCCCCTCAAAAAAAAATAATAATAAAAAAATTATAAAAAAATATATAAAAAAATAATAATCACCATGTATCACACTCAACCGTGAGCGGAGGTGAGTCACTCGTAACTTGAGAAACGGCCTATCTATATACTAGGTGCGCACGTAAGAACCTAATTGTATAAAGACCCTCAATGGGAAACACATGTATCGCACTACACATTCATACTTTGATTAAAAAAATGGTGGGGGAAAGGAAGAGAATTGATAATTGAAAGAAAAAGGCCTCTAGGGTGCGATACACCCCAACATGGTGGGAGAAGGGTTAAAATCGTCACTGTATTCCTACACGATGTAAAACATTGACTGAAAAATTCCCACGCAATTAAACTTTACCCTTCAGACCCCCATTTGTGTTCAGTGTGCAATCCAACCATTCATCTGTCGAAAACGCTTTCGAGCAGAGGATTAACACCCTTTAAAACTATCATCCCTGAGCGGCTCGTACGGTTTCGCTAATCCGTTAATTCAGTAGAAATATCCTCATTATACAGATCGCGGCGGAAGGCTGAGCCTCTTATCACCTTTCTAATCAGTTGCTCGAAACTCATTAACACGTTATAGCTCCCGTGGAAACTTCTCCCCTAATCACACTTCGCACTTCCTTCCCCGACTCCGTCAACAATACCTCCTTTTGTACTCAACGGCGACATGGGTGTGCCTGGATTTCAGGCTTCGGTAGGTTTCATATTTAAATAAACATATGTTTTTTTTCGGAATGCCGTGTACACGATGAATATTTAATGGTTTTGTTAGTTATTTTATGGCATAACGGCAATTTAACAATTCTAAGAATATTTTGTCGATGATGTTTCAGAAGTTTGACGGCGGGGCTGGGATACACGTGCCAATCTGGTCGGTGCTTATACAGAACAGGTCAGAAATTTATTGTATTTCTTTATTTCAAATTGAACTCGATCGCCTTTGATAGGAAATGGAAGCTGGGAATAGAGTCAGCGTCGGATCGGGGACAACGCCGAGGACTGAAGGATATGAACGAATTCCTTGTCCGACTTGCAAAAGGAAATTTATAGAGGAAAGCTACAACAAACACATAGACATATGCAAAAATCACGCAAAGAGAGCGTCCGAGAGGACTTCGTTCGACTCGTCAAAACAGCGATTAAGCCAACTGCTGGATGAGGTCAAGCTCTCAAATCAGACCCTGCCGCCAGTAAGTTAACTCAGGTTTTCAAATTCATGGACATTTTACTTCGTACACCTCATGTAGAACTATCAAAGACTAGCTTTAGGGAGCATTCTATTGATTTTTTTTAAATTTCTTGTCAGCTAAACTGTCCAGGTCAAAATGTCAGTTACGGTTAGGTTGAAGTTAATAGGGGGAGCACTTGTTTATAACTGTAGTATTATTTATTGCCTTTTTTGGAAACTTTATGGATATTAAGTAGCCTTATTGTGTTCCCAGTTTTACATTGCATTCAAAAGTTGCGACAACGTTTATCCAGTAAAGAGCAAAAAATTGTATTAATTTCGCAAGACAATAAAAATACTTTTAGAAGCACATAATAATAAATAAATTTACCCTAACAAGAAAAACAATGAGTTAAATAGAAATAGATGACAATACTGTTGACTCATTCAACATTGACATAATAGTTTCGTTTAACGTTGCTCTTTCTGGAGGAGGGTTGAGAGGTTGATTCACGAAAGCCATATTTGCTGGGGTTGAGGAGTGTCAGATGGAGCATATTGTAAAGGCACTTGATCCCCTTCTGAACGTGAGGATGTGAGTATCTTTATTGTAGGCAAAATTTCGTATTTCTTAAGGTGCATCGGTCTAATACACTTATTACGAAGTACCAGGATTTTTTAATTTGTCTATTGAAGGCCGTATAAGCAGGCATAACTCTATATGAACTTTGTTTTCTGTTGATAAATTAACGTTTAGTTTCCTTCAGAAGCTGCAGATCGTTGGTAGAATCTGAATCGTATATTTTATGAGTGCGTTTTCCAGTTCAATTGTTTTCCCAGTTGAATCCTAAGTACCGTAATGCGGTAGTAAGTGGAATAATTTATTACATTACAAGTGTTTAGGCCGTAGGCTTATTGTAATTAAAATAACTTAAAAAAATAATTAAACTCTTAAATAATTAACAAAAGAATGCGCAACATAAGGGAAAAAATGAGAAAATCACTTGCCGAGAGTAGCAATGTTTCACTCACCTTACAATTCGCTCCTGAAGGATAACTCCCGTAGGTCTGCTCCAAGGCCTTAGAGTTTTCCTCCGGGAATGATGAGGAAATGCAGTTAACACCTTGCCTGTGAAAACATAAACAGCTCTTTTCGGTAGATAATTTTCTCGTGTTGCAGTACGGAGGAGAAATACTTCGTTGAGAGGGGAAAACGTTAATTTTATGATATTGAGAGAACAACAAGGCGCCCGGCCAGAGAGAAAAACGTGTGTGTACTGAACAACTGACGGAAACAAAACAGAAAAGCCCTACACCGTCTGCCAACTAAGACTCTCATCATTCGGTAGGCCAATCAGAGGTCGGAGGCTTAAAATAAAGAGAAATGAATTGAATAAGACTTTTTAATTAACTAATTTTTAACAAGAAAATATAATAAATTACGCTTCGGCGTAAACAACAAGTATAGATTAATTCGTTTTACTTTCTTTTTATGAGTGAATCTTGATTTCTGATTGATTCCTTCCTTAACATGTAGAGATTTGAAAAGAGAGTTTTGTAAAGTCATTTCTGTAATTTCGGACGGGTCTAGGAACGGGCTGGGTCAACTGAAAATTGTAGTGACTAGGGAATTTGTTTGGGGCTGAGTGATACATGAAGCGAATATTAAATACTGCAGAGGACCAAGTATTCGTCCTTGAGGAATTCCAGAATTTACCTGTGTTTGGAGTGGTTTGATGCTGTCTATCCAGTCCTAACATATATTTAAAAGATTTAGAAAACAGTGTGTTTCAGTTCAATCGTCATTAGCACGAACTACAAATAAATTCATAGTTGATCGTATTGATAAAGATTTCAAGAATTCTTCTCTCCGTGTGCCTTTCCGTTTGATTTTTTAGGCCTTTCAAACACTTTTTGTTCACAGAGGCTGTACAATGTTAAGTGGAGACAAGAGCACAGTCTTTGGATGAGCAGCAGGAACGGCCTACTGAAGAAGAAACCGGCAGGACACTCGGCCGCCGCTGAAGCCCGAGCCGACAGCAGTGGAGGTACTCTCTGCATGGGCTGTGAACGTATGGTTTACGGGAACGATGCCAATGACCACATAGCATTTTGCGTCGAAAAAAATAAGCGTAAATGAAATAAAGCATTGTGTACGCAAAAATGATTTGCCAATTTTTTTTCCTTGACCGGGTCAAACACGTCTGACAGACCAATTCAGCAAGAGAGCAGACTACCTGACAATATTTTACATATTTTGTTTTTATTATTTTTTCAATGTATACATTTGTAATAATCTGTCTCCATTACAAAACATACAAGTGTAATTTTGGTCATTATCTATATTATATTCTCATTCATTTTTGTGTGGGTTAGAAATATTATGTCCTGTACCCAAAATACTTTTGCAATTTGTATTCAAAACAAAGTGGCAATTTTGAAAAGTACGGGCATTACCGTAATTAGGTTGCTAGACGTACAGAATAATTTCTAATTGGAGACATAGGATATAGGGTGAATACAGGATTCATGCCAGGAGAACGTGCTGTCCAATTCTTTGTGGTAATCCCTACGTCCTACAAGTAATGTGTGAAACTCGAGGCACATGCGATGCATTAACAAGATGTAGTCCCCCAATAAATGGAGCGAATGGGACCACAGCGTCCAGAAGAACTTCCTCTATGTACCTTAGTGCAGACAAAGTTCAATTCTATATGAAAGTTAAGTACGGGCATAGACTTTGATTCCACCCCACTGACTACAGTTGCAAAGGCTGTAGCTCACGTTGACACGTAAAGCATAGTTCCCTACGTCTTTTCAACATACGATCCCGGTTATCTGATTGCCACAAACCAAACCGGCACACATCTGTAAATAGAACCCCCCCCCCCTATTGTTCAAGGACTGCTAAGCGAAATACTGATTTGCGAATAGTCGCCTTTCTACTCAATGCCTCTCCAGTACTTCTAATGACTGTATTAGAGCTCATCCTTACCCTTACGACAGTTTGGATTTGATTACCTCTCAAGTAAGCCGTTAAATGACCGTTCCGTCATACTGTAAACACAATCAAACGATCTTTCTAACCGTTGTACATCGCGGGCGACCGCTACATTCGCAATTCGATCGAGACTTCCGGAGACCCTAAACCGTTGTAGACAATGGATAGATGGTACAGCGCGGTCCATTCAGGACTTGGTCTAAGTGACGGACGCTACCGCCCGTCGTTGACCAAAGCATCTTCCCGGATGAAATATTTCCGACTTAAAACCATGTTTTTAAGCAAAAAATAAACAATTTATTTTTATTGTGCGTTATCGAGTGTAAAAGGATGAATAACACTCTATAAAGGTAAATAACAAGTTATTAATATATATTATATAATATTAAGTTTCCGTTTTAAGACAACTATAGTACAACTACCTAGTTATTATGGAAAAAACAAATATTTTTTAATGTACAATGTATCATTACAAAATTATAAAGAACAGATTTTTATTGGCTTTTTCATCTATTAATATAAAAGTTTATATTATTATTCAGATATCGTGAGATGCGGTCTCTCAATACGACACACAAGGATGGCACAATTACACAGAAGACAAACACTTTGAGCCCTGAAGATGATCTCAATAAAAGATCGAAACGTTGGCACGATAAAGAAAATGTTTTTCTGAAACCTACATCACTCCCGACCGCATCTCACGATATCTGAATAACTATAGATTAACGGTCACTAATCTCTACACATTTCTACACGAGAATACGGACACGCAGCTAAAAGTATTCTGAAGGACATCGCCAACAATGAGAAGTTTATATTATGTTAAATTCATTGAAGGCAAAATTATATTGTCCAATGTGTATTGGCAAAATTATATTGTCCAATTCTGTACCTTGATCGTTTCTGATTATTTTGGTGTACAATATCACTAATTAGATCTGATAGAAGCTTTTCCTCATATTCAGTGGTAGGGCAGTGTGTTGGAACAGCCTGTTACAAGTACATACATCGCATCAAGAAGAAATCTCACAAATTAACATAGTTTCGCCAATTTCTTAATAATTATAGTAATGTGTGGTGATTAGTGACCGTTAATCGATTTCTAAATAAATATCGATTAACGGTCACTAATCACCACACATTTCTACACGAGAAGAACGAAGAACATGGGATTCTATGAACCAATTGCAACTACATATGGACACGAAGCTAAAAGTATACTGAAGGACATCGCCAACAATGAGAAGAAACTCGCATCGGCTATAAATCAGAGAACTTTTTTGCTGAAATGCAGACATCACAAGGTATTTCGTACTCACATCAAAAACAATTTTAACTTTACAAATGCCACACTAACACAGCCAAACACCAGAATTAACGACATACATAAAGCCACAATAAATTTCAAACGAAACATTTTAAACATAGAAATCACCACGAGCATCAAAAACATTAAGACACTAACACAAAAATTACACCAATTAAAACTCAGTGCCGACAACATAATACCCAACAGACATTTTAGAAGAATTTTACACACACCAAAAAGATGCATACAACTTCTTCCTCGACAAAATCAAAAACAAACACATCAAAAAATTAAATAACTTAATCAACAAACAAGCATCTGTTAACACAAATAAATGGTTCCTAAACCTAACCATCACACCAGACCGCATCTCACGATTTCTAAATAAATAATGATTATAGTGTAACATTCCGTCCTTAAAGAGAGAAAACCAAAAATATTTGTCAAAACAACAAGAAAGTGTACAAATTAAATATTTACTATTATTCTGGGAAAAAGAAAGCGGGTCAGATTTCTTCAACAATTCATAAGTTTTTCACCATTTCTTATTGGAAGATTCACTTTTATTCTCAGCTGGGAGGAAGGAGGCTGAGACTTGTGTGGTTTTCCTTTTAAGAGCCGAGTTGGGATTAATAGTGACGGGACGAGAGGGCGGGTTTCTTCTGATAGAACTTTCTCTTCAATTATAAGTTCCCCCTCAGATCACATATTGCCGCCACCAGGTCCCATCTCCAAACACGTACCTAACTCGGTTTCAAGCCTCACCCCCGAATCGTTTCAGACGAAATACTGTCCAGTTATATTTATTGTATATTTCATATTTCTAGCGTGAATTTAATGGAGACGAACATTAACGGTGTTACAAACGGCCCCCCGACAAGAAAATAGGGCTTGCTGATGACTAAACCACAAGCTAGTCCATGACAAACACTGATAGGCAAAAAATTCCACCCACTTGTAAAATAACTTGATTTGTTAACATATATTAATCAATGTTTCACGTTTTTTTAACGTTTAATAATGAGTTGACTCTCTACCAGTTTGGAAATATCTCTTTGCTGGAGGTTAGCCCGTTCTTCGCGAAGAGACTTTTCAAGATCGTGGAGTGTATCAGGAAGTGATGGACGTGCTCTTATTTGTCTTTTGAGGTTCCTTAATTGAATTATTTAACTTCCCGCCTACCCTGAGTTACGTTGGAAAGGTTGACTCTGGGAAAAATTACAAGCTTCGTACCATTTCGCCTTCTCCACACTCTTTCACGCCCATCTGAAGATTGTAAGCAGAGCAAATCTGCATTCATCTGTTAAAAGTACAGCAGTCCAATCGTTTAAAGACCAATGGCTGTGTTCTCGAGCAAATGCGAGCCGTGCACCTCTGTGTGTTCTGGTCCTCTTACGGGGCGAAAAGTCATCAGTCCATATTGATTTAATCTTCTTCGAGCAGTGCATTCAGAAATTTTGACACCACGAACTTCTTGGAACTGATGGATCGTTTGAACGACAGGAAAGTGCTGTTTTCACAAATTTCTCAAAGTCAAAAAACGGTCATCCAGTGGTTCTGTTACCCTAAGGCATTCAGAACCGGGCGTTCTATGGTAGGATCCAGTTTCTCAAAAACGTCTAACGGCGTCTGGCAGAGTCTCGTAGGGAACTCCGATGGCAATAGCTATTCTTGAAATGATGGAACGTCCATCATCGGTGAGTGCCACGCAACGCGGAACATCCTCAGCTTTAAGTGGCATTTTTAAGTCGAAAAATTGAAATTAAGAAAACAAATATAACTTTATTGACAAAACTGTGCAATGTTTAAGCTTAAACCGACAGAGTGAGGCAGGCTATCGCACGAATAATGCAAGGATATTTGGGGGTTAGGATTTTTATACTATTTTAAAGAAAGGCTGATTATGATTACAGACGAGCGTCTGGACCATCTAGACTTTGCTGACGTGTTGATCTGAGGAGCATTAGGTTACGCCATAACTTCGATTAACAATTAATAAAAAACATAATGAAGAAAACTTACACATAAAAACAAAACGACACTACAAAAAAAAAAATCAATTCAACAAATCAGGAATTACATTCAACAGACTGAAGACTACGAACACTCAATGCTTTGTTGGTACACCTTTTGTTAAAGGTCGCGGTGAAAATATGTTTCTGAGCAATTTTAGCAATTTATGCTTGAACATAAAGTTTCAGACCATTCCCCATGGAGTCGACAGCTTTGTCCTCAACTCCTGGAATACATTAACATTTAAACCGTAATAAATATTAAGCTCCTCGTTACCAGAAACAACAATAATTTTACACTACGCATTATTACAGACATTTTTATCAAATAATTGTGATAAATGGGTGACAGGAATATATCCATTTTTAATGTGTTACACGACAAACACAATTTTCATTTTACGTTTACAATTTCTTTGCTAGACTATAGGACCGATGCTTTGCAAAGTTATAAAAGAAAAATTTGTACATCAAGTAGAACCAATAGAAAAAAGGTGATAAAAGATTTACAAACAACAACTGTTATAAAGGCAACAAACCTATATAAAAACTCCTGAAAAAATGTACTTAAATCTGAGTAAATATAAAATATTCTTCATAAATTAATAGCAATGAAAAAGAATTGTGAATATATTAAAGTATTTTTTTTTTAATTAAGTACCGCGAATTCTTGATGTCTGGAGGTTTTGGTCGGTGGAAAAGAAATTTTTCATTGCACAAAAAAGGGGTTTTTGGATTTTATATTTATATTTAAACGATATTAAAGGTTAATTGTTGTTAAGCCCAGTTTTAACTCTACTATCAATTTCGGACATTTTCACTTTAATTTGTAATCTTTAATG